ATGGTTTTATAAGAATATATCCTATATATAACTTTTCAAATATCCTATTTACCGTTTGTTACTTAAAAGAACGGCAAATACAAGTTTATCTGCCAGATAAACGAATTTTTATTAATCTGGTGGCATTTTTATAAATATATTGAAACAGCGTGGTCATTTATTCAGTACTTGTGGTGAGTTATCTCATTACTTTTTGCAACTTGCATTTAAGAAATTACACATTTACCCCTCAACTAATACATAAAAAAACGTATATACTTCCCTACTGGTAATTAAAATGGCGATTATATTAACTAGGCACAGCTTAAAAAAATACTCCACAATAAAATAAAATGAAAAACACACAAGATACCTCGTTTGTCAATTTGTATCGAGTCGGCTTCGAAAATTTGAATGGGCCCATTAAAAAATTTGTGTTCCAGAATAATGTGAAGTACGGACCACAAAAGGAGGGATGAGGTCTTACACTCTTACTAGTACAAGATCTTTCGCCATTGGTCCCAAACCTTCTTATGATGATGATCACCAGTTTTCCTCATCCAACGGCAATCCATCACCCAATTTGGGCGGTGCTGATCACGTTCGATCAATCGAGAAGGTGGGTCCCTTTATTGTATCCACACTGGCATTTGACGTGGATTTTAGACCCTTTCCTCAACTATTGGGGCTCTTTCACATTGGACTTTTGGTTTAGTCACTATACTTCTTACGTGACTTCTCAATTTTAATGGAGAATAATTGATTTTAGCCAATAGGAGTGCCATATTACTGTCTATAATACAAGGTCACTAATGAATTGTACGCCATTATTTAAGGGGGCGGCAGGCATCCTCGTCGTAATGGTGATGTCTGAAATTTATTGAATACATGTATACTGGTTATTGTAACGATTTTTATTTTTAAATAATTAGAACAAAAAAAATTATAATTAGAAATAGTGGTTCATAATTTTTTATTGTCATTTTCTAAATTTTTGTGGTTCATGCATTCAGAGAACAACCTTACGTTTAACAGTCCTCTTAAGAGGGGCAAATTGTATAAATTTATACAATCCTCTTAAGAAGGACAAATCGTATAAATTTATAACTATATTTATAAATTGTTCAACTAAATTTTCATTGTTTTTTTACCTTCAAATTTAGGGAGGTCATAGGAGTATAGGACCAATCCCCCCCCCCCCCCAAACCTTAAGTTTTGCCTACACAATATGATACTACTATATATGTCATATAAGATAATGTATCATAAATATTCATTTTTAAATATAGATATTTATATGTTAGACCAATTTATTTCAACACAAAATTTTAAAAAAATCGGGTGTACAATAATTATTGTACATCCATTATAAAGATAGCATAAAATGATTATAAGGGCTTATTCCGATTGACTGAACTCAGCTGAACTGAACTGAGTTGAACTGAACTGATTTGAACTGAACTGAGTTGAACTGAACTGAACTTATTAATTAGTGATTTTTAACTACGGATTAGTGATCTTTGATTATTTATTGATTATTTATTACTATAGATATGTGTATATACAAATGTACATATTATTATTATTATTATTATTATTATTAATTATTGATGATTATTATTATTATTATTATTATTATTTATTGATTATTATTATTAGTATTATTGTTATTATTATTAGTAGTAGTATTATTATTTCAGTTATTATTATTGTTATTATTATTATTATTATTTATTGATTATTATTATTATTATTATTATTATTTATTGATGATGATGATGATTATTATTATTATTATTATTATTATTATTATTATTATTATTATTATTATTATTATTATTATTATTATTTATTACTTATTGATTATTATTGTTGTTGTTGTTGTTGTTGTTAAAAGAATGAAATTTGGCTTTATATCATTAGCAATATCATTAGACGTAAATTAAGAGCTGAACTGAACTGAACTGAGTTGAGCTGAACTGAACTGAACTGAACTGAACTGAGTTGAGCTGAACTGAACTGAATTTCAACAGAAGAGAACAGGCCCTTAAGTTACCCCTGAAATGAATAAAAGTTACCCCAATATGCGTAAAAGTAACCCAATTCAAATAAAAATTATCTACGCTTTATTGGTAAAGAATCACGTTTTAATTGACTAAAAATCAATTATTAGTGATTGAATGTAATTAAATTACCTCTATAAAACTTTTCTCGTTATCTATTTATATAAAAATTGTATTATGTTTAAAGTTACCCAAAGAAAGACAAAAAGTTACTCTAAAATTAGCTAAAAGTTACCCTTATACTGCTCGATGTACACTAATATTACTGTAAACCGGATGTATACAAAAGTTTTTGTTATTTCAGTATACTTCATATTAAGATAAATGAAAGTATAAATTGATCCTCTCACAATCCTACAAGGCTACAACCCCGCCTTAGCCCTTCGAGTTGTTTAGGAATTAGGGAGCAAATAATAAGGGGATTACATCATCCTCTAACAAACTTCATGTGGATATTTATATCTTTTCATCGTGTATTACCCCGAACTTCGAATTGTTATAAAGAAATTCAATGAAATCATGAAGTTAAATAGTAGTATAATCAATCCAAATTTGGTCACTATCAGCCCACCTGAGCATTATGTTAGATAAGCCTAATGATTTAGCTAGTTGTACTTTACTAGTAGAGTAGTGGGTTTAGGACTTTAGCTAGGGTGGTCCAAATAACACCAACAAACCCAAATGGAAGTTAATACCGACCATAAAAATGAAAGCAAGTTAGGTTGATGTCAATAGCAATATATAGCAGTGATCGTTTGGCGTTTGCAGTCTCCCTATGAAAAGGGATCGTGCACCTCTTGAGGGAGCAACGACATAAAAACGCAACTTCAAACGGGGATGTGTTGATATCTAATTCAAACACTGTTTAGTTTTTGCTCACTTTAGGCCCACACTTTGTAGTGGGCTGCCCATATCCTAAATAAAATCTGTCCTTCCAAATCCATGAACCACAAATTTTTTTTTTATTTTTTATTTATACTTATATTTTTGTTCAAAACTATGCATTTATTTTGTACTGGGGCGTATATGTGCTAAAGCACGGAATATATTAATCATATATTTTATAATATTTGTTTATTACTGTGATATTAATAAATTTCTTTTGTAAATATAATAGTTGAAGTTATTGAATTTGCTTAGTGGAAGTTATGAAATACGGAGTAGGAAGTACTTATGATGGAATTTTTCTTTTTTTTTTTTTTAAAAGTAAAGTTAACAGAATTTGAGGATTGATAGTTTGGAGTGATGTGGTTAAAAGTTGGAAAAATGACTCTTGAATTATAATATAGATACGAAATTACAAAGACAATGCTTGTGATAAAATTTATTTTCACCACTAAACACTAGTCAACCACACATAATAACATACACAATTTTTTTACAAGTCAAGTCAAATTAGACTGAGGCACTCAAAAGTTATTGTTGAACACATTCAGTATGTTGAATGAATTTAGGTTGCATTTGTTGACGAGAACGAGAGTTGGACCACTTTACAAGTTTAGTGACGTCTACGTATTTACTAGTTTACAATTATAATTATACAATTAACTTTTGCTGTTTCTTCTCACCAATTGTGTCGTGACACCTTTAGTTAACTTGCACACTTTATTTTGTATGTCATACCAGACATATAGACAAGTCTAAAACAATATCATTGTACTTTTGATCTCATAACGTTCAAATCAAAAAGTTCTACTCCGTAGATTGTATGAAGTACTCCATATCTAATTGGAAGGTGAGGATTTATGAGAATGTTAATCTTACTATGTAGGTATGATTCCCTCATAGACAATAATATTATTTCTCTATATCAAAGGATCCATCGAGTGTTAACTTGCTCATAAATCACCATTTATAATTGGTATATGTTTATATTAATTCATCTCTTATAAAGTTATTTCGAACTATTTAGATTTATGGAGAATTTGAGTGTAATCGTTTTAGAATAATAGAAATTTTAGGTTGTTTAGGGTTCAATTTTCACAATATTTATTTTAAGAGGATTTTATGTGTTTTTTAGAAGGTGGGTGTTCAAGTGATCTCCTTAAAATTTTCTCACATACACACTCTTTCCCTTCCCCCCCCCCCTCTAAAAAGGGAAAAAAATAGTGTACCGTACACCCAAGATAAGTAAGCCAAGGTTAGTGTTTACTCTTTATTTGATGATTAAATAAAAAAACAATCATCAAAATTAGAATATAATATTTACAAGTATATGTGTACGGTACACCCGAGTGTATAAAAAAAGCTTGTGATAAAAAGAGGAACTCGGGTTAAGTTCGACTTTAACAAAGTTCAACTGTACATATTCATATTAAATGGCCATGTACTAGGTTAAATTATAATACGCCTTTTTTTTTTTATCTATTGGTAAACTTTTTTTAACAATTAAATAAAAAAATCTTTGAAATTTTCATATCAATACAAATTCAATGGCATCTCATTTCATCAAGATCAGTAAAATAGGATCAATATTTGCTAAATCATTCAATTACAATAACAAATCAAGACAGATAATATCAAATCAAAAGATTTATATCAAATTAGATGAATTGAATATAAACTTAATCTAGTAAGAGAGAATACATATGTACCTAGACTTAGTGATTGTTACCTTTACAACTAATAAATGAATCAAATTCAATTGCACACCGGTAATTAGTTTCTTAAAAACGCTAATTTAACCTATCTAGTCCGCATCTTTCTAATTTGTTTTGACGCTAATATTATTTTTATTAATCCCAAAATTTAAATATAATATAAATAAAATCTTATACCCGTGCTGTGTGTTTTGCTTAAATTTACTTTGATCAAACCAATCCTACTTGTCTTAGCTCAATTAAATGGTTCATTAATTTTACGTAAGATTATTATAAATCACTAAGAATAAAACTTATTATCAATATCGCATAACAATTTAAGCTTATCTCAAATTACGTATTACGGAATATTAACTTTAAAAAAATAGGAAGTATAGAGTACTCGATAATGTATATATAGGGAGTAGATTACTCTTCTCAATAAATCAAAAAGAAAGCAGATGTTACTGAGTACTCCGTACTGGCTAGTGGCTAGTAGGCTTTTTTTACTCTAATCCAAGAGATCACAAAAACACAATCAGATTTTTTTTTGACAAAAAATTAGAGTATTCCGATTTTCCCGCTCATAATTCAAAAAATAAACATTCAAAAAATAATTCCATGTTCACCTCTTCCACTTTCCCTCAATTTAACCCACGCTCAATTTAAGTCCTTTCTCTCTCCTCAGTCCTCACCCACATCTCTTCGTGCACCGCTTCTACACTATTAACTGCGCTCTCTCTCTCTCCCCCCTCCTCACTAACCCTCAATCAAACCTACGGTAAACAACCCTTAGTTTTTCTTCAATTTTTTCATCAGAAGAATTAGGGTTTACGATTCAATTTTGTTTTTCATACATTCTGCGTTTGTTTCTGTTATTTTTTTTTTCATTAGTGTTCATAGAATCAAATTTATTTTTTGTGACGAATTATAGTCTGGAATTGTAGTTTAAAACTGGTAATTTTGATGAACAAGTGGATTTTTTTTTTTTTTTTTTTGACGAATTATAGGCTGAAATTGTAATTAATCTCGTAATTTTTATGAACAGGTTGAACAATTACAGTAGGTTTTTTGGCAATTGAATTTTCGATGGAGGAGAGTGTGCCGCAGAATCTGAAGAGGTGTTCTGAGGAAGAATCTGTACAACCAAAGAAGAAAATCACAACTCCAACCGACGAAGAAGAGTGTAAATTGATCGGTAAACCTGTTCCCGTTCAACAAGCGAAGGCACAATGGCCTCATCGCTTTTTATCTAAGGTACAGTTTTGTCTAACCTAATTTTGTTCTAAATTGAATTTTGGTTAAAATTTTATGTAAATTGAAATTTTGTTCATGTATAAAATTTCAGGGTAAAGCGGTAAATGCAGCAAAGTTTTCAGTGTAAGAATTGTGGAAAATTACAATTAGGTTTAATTAATCAGTTTGGTTGTATTTTAAAGTTGATTTTTATTTGTTTTACATTTCAGAGAATGGAATAGTGAGGAAATTTTGCAAGCCTCAAACCACTACACCCAAGCTGTTGTTGATGGTGTTGTAATCAAGCTTCTTGATGATGTATACATTCAGGTTAGGATAATTTCTTACATTTGATATGATGTATACTGATGTAGATATGGACTTAGTCAATTGAGATGTACAGATTCGAAGTATCCTGAATTTTACATTTGATTTTTATTCGATATCATCTTAATTAGAATATTAATTATGCTTTACATAATATAAGCTCGATTCGATTGATGAGATGTGTATTGTAATTAGAACATTAATAATGCTTTACATAATATTCGATTGATGAGTTGTGTCTATTTGGCTCTAGAAGGCTCAGCTTAAATTCATATATATATGGTAGTAACAAGCACAAAGAGCTGAACAAATAGCCTGCGTTATAGGGTTGATAATTGAGAATAGATATGACCAGCATAGGTATCAAATATATATCAAAGTATTTTTGGTAATGATTGTCGAAATTTAATAGCATTAACACCTCGAATTTAACATCAAACTATATCACTGTTCGAGTTGAGCAAATGTCTGTGCTTGAGCTACCAAATGGAGAATTCTCTAATACAAAAATGATCTTGTTGCACATGTTTATTTTACACAATGTCCTGTTCTGCAGGGAGAGAAAGGGCAGAGAGATTACATTGCTAAAATTGTGGAATTCTTCGAGACTGTTGATAAGGAGCCATACATTACAGCTCAATGGTTCTATAGAGCTGATGATTCTGTGAGTTCAAATTTTATTTTTGAAACACACAAATTTGGCACATAATTGTTCATTGGATGAACTATTTACTGAAAATTCTGCCTTTTATTTTCTTATCAGGTCATTAAAGATCATGCAAATTTTGTTGATAAGAAAAGAGTATTCTTTTCAGATATCAAAGATGATAATCCACTAGGATGCATTGTTAAAAAAGTCAAAATTGATTACAACCCTTCAGATGTATGTTATATTTGAGTACATAAATCTGAATTTCGTTTTCTATGTTAATCTGATAAAAAAAAGTCTAATTCTATGTCTCTATGAATATTGATAGGTTGGGGTTGAGAAGCCTGATGATTATTTATACTGTAATATGCGATATAAATTACCATATTTAACGTTTGAAAATATGGTGCTTGGTATGTTATCCTTGTCCACCAATCTCTATATATTTCAACTTAGAGCTTGCTTTCATTCTTATTGTTACTTCATTCATAATTATTTAGATGAGAAAAACCAAGGCAGTGGTAGTGATACTTCATCAACTATTTCAAGTGATCATAGTTCAAATGAAGCCATTGATGATGCCTCTAGTAATGCGCAACCAGTCACTGAGATGACATTATTAGATCTATATTCCGGCTGCGGAGCCATGTCAACAGGCTTATGTCTAGGTGCAACTTTAGCAGGAGTAAAACTTGTAAATGTAAGCTGAACTGTTAACTTGTTATGATACTTTACTTTGGATATAGTGACATAATCATATATTGAAAAAGTTCAATTTATAATTATTTTTTAGCGATGGGCGGTAGATTTGAACCCTTATGCTTGTGAATCTTTAAGCAAGAACCATCCAGAAACTAAGGTGACTTTCTAACTCTTGCTTACCCTTACCAATAGTGGAGAAGTAACGGCACAGTATAACAAAATATTTTTATAGGTGAGAAATGAGATGGCTGAGAATTTCCTTGCCCTATTAAAAGAATGGGAAAAGCTTTGCAATGATTTAGTATTGTCACCTGCACCCCCCTCGGAGATGGCGAATCCTGAAGATGAAGAGGAAGAAGAAGACAATGACGATCCACTATCTCCTGGTGAGTTTGAGGTAGAGAGCTTACTAGATATATGCTATGGGGATCCCAATAATGTGAGAAAACGTGGCCTTTACTTTAAGGTATTTTCTTTCTCTCTAGCTTACATAACACAAGCTTTATCAATGAAATATTGTTGTTGTATTCATCTATTTTTCGGAAAAAAATAAATTTATTTTTTAATTCTATAATTATTGATTAAAGGTACACTGGAAGGGGTATGGACCTGAAGAGGATACTTGGGAGCCCATTGATGGATTGAGGTATATGACAGCTTTTTATTTATTTTTTATTTTTATTGGCAATAAAATAAGGCCTCATAGTCTTTGAATACTATAGGCTAGATTATGACTGCTTTATTGTCATTGGTATTTTTCTGTTTTACTATGCTTGATGTTAATCTGGTCTAATTATTTGCTTTCATATATTACAGTGGCTCTGAAGAAAGGATTAAGGAATTTGTCACAAAAGGATACCAATCAAAACTACTGCCTCTTCCTGTAAGAAACTAGTGTTTTTGAATTACATTACCTAGTGGCATGGTGTTTTTTCTTTTTAGTATACTGGTATAAAGGCTTACATATAATGCCAATGTATAGGGGGATGTTGATTTTATATGTGGGGGACCTCCTTGTCAAGGGGTTAGTGGATTCAACCGATTTCGAGATACAAATAATCCTTTAAACGATTCAAAGAACCAGCAGCTAGTAGTTTACATGAACATAGTCGAATATTTAAGGCCAAAGTATGTCCTCATGGAGAATGTGGTGGATTTACTGAAATTTGCTGGAGGATTTTTGGGCCGCTATGCAGTTGGAAGACTTATCGGTATGAACTACCAAACACGGATGGGGATCATGGCGGCTGGATCATATGGTCTGCCTCAATATCGGATGAGGGTGTTTCTATGGGGTGCACACACTTCACAGGTAAATTGCTAAGTTGTCATTGTGATTGACTGTTCTTAACCTTTTACATATAGACCCTGTGAGGTAGTCATTCAAGTGTTTTTACCCCCTCCCTTTAAAAGCAAAATCTTCCATCAGTACTCATGTTCTGACTTTTGTGACAGAAACTGCCTCAATTTCCTCTCCCTACTCATGATGTTGTTACAAGAGGCGGAGTTCCCGTTGAGTTTTCAGTAAGGCATTCTTTGCACATTAAAAATAAAGCTTCTAAGTTAATGACACTATATGTTTGTAACAGTTTTGTGTAATACATGCAGGATATTAATGTCTCACATGGCAAAAACAGCCCTGTTCAGTTAGAGAAGGCTCTATTATTGGGGGATGCTATCTCAGATTTACCTGAGGTACATGATTGTTGGATATATATATTTCTATTGGTGTAAGGTAGCTGTTACAAATAATCTTTGTTTGTCTTATAAAATATCTTATGTTTATCTATTCAGGTTAAAAATGACGAGGAGGAAGATGTGAGGCCTTATGGAGGAGCTCCACAATCAGAATTCCAGCGGTATATCAGACTACCAAGAGAGGGTGAGTTTATGGATACTGTATCTTATTTCAATTTTGTAGAATTTTTATTGCTTATTCTTCACCTTTTCATTAAACTTGTATGATATTTTATTGTGTAAATTGGTTTATCAGAAATGATATCATTCAATGGTTCAACTGAAGTTGCATCAAGTCATTCGCTTTTCGACCACCGCCCCTTGAAATTGAATGATGATGACATTTTAAGAGTTTGTGAGATTCCTAAAAAAAAGGTTAGCATTCTGTTTTCTTTGCAAAATTAGTTCGATACGATCTTGTTCTTATGCCTTGTATTTTATATAGGGAGCAAATTTTAGAGACTTGCCCGGAGTGCTTGTAGATGCTAAGAACAAGGTATCCTTGGATCCTAATGTGGAAAGAGCACTTCTTCCTTCAAAGAAACCATTGGTAACTATCACTCAAATGCTTTTGTCATCTGTTTAATATGCTATTGTAATGGTGTAAGTGAGTGTAACCTTAAAATGTTTATGATTAGGTTCCTGATTATGCAATTTCGTACGTCAAGGGCAGCTCTTCCAAGTATGTGCACTTTTTTTTCGAGTTAAACATACTTCGTATTAGATTTTCTATTTTACTAAGATATGGTGTATAATGTTATTTTCAGACCATTTGGTAGATTGTGGTGGGATGAGACAGTGGCCACTGTTGTTACCCGAGCTGAACCTCACAACCAGGTAACCTCATTGTTTGCAACACAATTTTGGGACGTTTTTGTCACTTGTAATGTCATAATAGTATTGAAGATTTGATTTTTTTTTTTTCCAGATTGTTCTACATCCTGAGCAAGATAGAGTGCTCAGCATACGGGAAAATGCAAGGCTACAAGGTTTTCTTGATTGCTACCAACTCTATGGCCCTATCAAGGAGAGGTAAGACTTCTGAAGATCAAGTTATTTATTCACAAAAAACTATCTTTCACCTTTCACTAGTATAACTTTAGAGGAATTGTTGTAAATTTTTTTGTAACATGTTTTATAGGTACATTCAAGTCGGAAATGCAGTAGCAGTACCTGTAGCTACTGGTCTTGGCTATGCTTTCGGCATTGCAAGTCAAGGAAATGTTGACGGCAATGCTGTGATGACGCTACCTTTCAGATTCCCTCAGTGTCTTGTTCGTGAGCAAAATTGAGCTGTTGTCATTAGAATGTTAAGGAAAGAAGCAATTGTGTAAAAGTCATGGAAACATTTATATTGATTCAACTTTTAGCCTATGATTTATAGGGGGAAATATTGAGATTAATTAATTGTCTTCAAACTTCGGATTGACAGTTTTTTGCTGAATATTCAATGTACTCACTCTGCAATTAAAATATGCAGAAAGGAGAAAATGTAATCCTAGAAAAAAGTTATCAATACAATGTTTATGCTTAATTGATTACAAACAATGTTTCTTGATTATGGTGACTACAAAATAGCTTGTAGAACTTCTAAAACACGGTCAGCTTTTTCTTGACCGAACATCCTAGGCAAGCTAGATCCAATATCAGTCTCAATACTCTTACTCTTATACAAGCTATCCCTCTTCTTCAAACAAGCCTTCTCATCATCTCCAATGTCTTGTTTTTCGCCTAATGCGCATAAGCTTAACCATGTGTTCAACACCTCTTGTGCTGCATTACTAACATCGTCCCTCAGAATCTGCTCCAATCTGTCTCCTCCACTTGAGGAAGTGTCCACACGAAGTACAACTGCAGTAGGAGAGAAGACGGAACGAATGTAAAGAGACGGGGAGACATAAAGTTGAGCTTCAGAGATTTTATCAAGGACCTGTCTTTGCTTCTCTAGCTGTGTATCTTCATAAAATGTCTTCAGATATTCAGGGTGAAGGATGAGGTCCTTTCGAGGAGGTAAATCGAGGATTAGAACCAAAGATGTGGGACTACTTTGGATGAACTCAATCACCAAGTGTGGTGCATCGGTTGAGCTATTCATGTAAGATGATAAACTTGTGATGTTTAAAGCTGCTCCCGTTGGTAGTTCACAATGTAACCAAGAACTTAACATGAAGTCAATCTGCAAACGTTGCAGCAAAATGTTAATGGTGTTGAGACTTAATAATAGTTAATAGAAACATAATCAGGATAGTCCCTATGTCTCTTCATTAAAGGTCATGTTACATTTTTCGGACATCTTAAAATAATGTACTAGAATTTGTATAAAGTAGTAGTCCACTAATCTCTACTCCGTATTACCTATAACAAAGGAACACAATATTATGCTTAATGTAGGATATCAAATGGTCGTTTGGTTCACACACAAACACAAATACTACTACCAAAAGTACTAGCAATTCCACAAGTATCACTTTTTATGTGTTTACGAAGTATAGGTCACAAGTTCGAATTTCAACAACACAACAACCCTTATTCGGAGTCAAGCCAATTGATCAAGTAAGATAGCATAACAATTTTTTTATAGTAAAAGAAATTAATAATTTCTTATGTCAAGCCATGATCACATAGCACATAAAATACTTAAGTAGCATAACTAAAAATAACATAATTTTAAAATAACATAATTTCATAGCAAAATAATGTAATGAGGAAGTTGTAAAGTGGAGAGTACCGAAGAAGAGGGAGCACCAGAGCGAAGTAGAAGAGAAGCATGGGCGGTCCCACTTTGGTTTTCAAAGTACTGAACATCCTGTGGAAGTGTACATGGTAGTAGCAATGAATCAAGGCGATTTTCAACCGTTGATATCAAATCAATCATCAGATCTTTGATGGGTGGTGATGCGTAAGGGAAGTCCTTGAATCCTGGCCGTCCATCACTGTCCATTGATGATCGTACACTAGAACGAGTAAGAGTGGAAGTAGGAAATCTGAAATTGGGTAATGAAGGAAGAGAAGTCTGGCAAAATGGTGATGCTTTTGAGGGGAGAGAAAAGGGAAAGTGTGAGAAAATGAGAGCCATACGAATTTGTTCTTTCTTGGAGCTCCATAAAACTTAAAATAAATATACAAATGGGCTAGTTCTACCAAGGATTTGTGGGTATGCTATCCATCACTTGTTTTGGGCTACAAAATTGACAATACGCCTTCGGCTTAATGGCCTAAACCCAACACGAGCCCATCATAAGCCTAGCATAGCACGAGAGGCACGTAGGTGGGCTGTGCATAGGCTTCATTTTCAAAATGTGGCACGAACTCGGCACGAGCTCAACAGCCAGACCCCATTTTAACAGACTTATTGGTGGCCTATAAGGACGGCACATGAGTCTCGCAATATATGAGCCTCATTTATGAAAGTTTGGCACAACATGACTTTTTCTTAGCTCGTTCTAAACATGACTGCATGTGGTTAGACAAATACAATCTAACTAGTTGAATTAGTAAGATCTTTTTATACCAAAAACGATAAGACTTGTTTTTATAAAAGATTGCTGCCAAACATACTATCGAGTATTTGAATTTCACTTGAAACTTTGTTGGTAGATTTTGTTATGTCTCTAATGTCTAAATACACATATAAAATATGTACTTTGAGCAAATTGTATAACTCCACTTACTTTAACAATATATTAGAGGATTAGTTCCTATTATCCCTTGTTCTATTCAAGCCAATGTCCACTATTTAATACATTCATAAATACATATAGCAATATATAGTCCAAACTAAACAGAAACATCTAAAACAAATTACAAATGCATATTGTAATCCGCCATTGTTTCATCTATCCATCATGAATCTTCAAACTTCAACAACCACATTGACTAATCCATAACCATTTCTCCTTATACAAGACATTTATAAGACGAGAAAATTGAACAAATTATGCATTAGTAGTATTATTGTATATACTATTAGTAATTTATGAAGGAATCTTCATGATCTTTCGACGACATTGGGCTCCATTAAAGCCCAAATTAGAATTATTGTCCCTTTGAAATTCATCATAACATCTTCCTCTTTTCTTGACCCCACCAACTTCATTCAACCAAACACCAAACAATTTGAAACCATCTTCTTCTTCATTATTATCAACACCTCCAAAGTCATCTTCTCCAACAAACCCATCTTTGTGGGCCCCACATGATACCACCATCCCCTGCTCTAGGATATGGTTTATCTCATCTGGGCCCACTTTCAAATGGGCCGTAAGAAAGCCCATTAACTCTTCACATTGTTTTTTTGTTTGGGCTAGCTCTGAGTTTAGCATCTCGTTATCTCGTCTCAATTTCTCGTTTTCACCCGATAAATCCGCGATTTCTACGGAACCTGGTGATGCCGTGGATGTGGACCCAGCGTCGTCGCCGGATATGCACGGTGATGTGACGACGCCGGTGACTTTTACGGCGAGTGTTGCTTTCCGGCGGCGGATTCCGGAGAGGAGATCTTTTTGATCTTTCTTGAAGTTGTCATTGGCGAATTCCCACTTGTCCGGCACAATTTTGCGGAATCCCTGAAATTTGTTTTACAAAATGTGCATTTCGTCAAAAGTGTGCGCCGTGATTTTGGAAAAAAATATGGACTAGTATGAATGTTACGTAGAAATTTTTTACTATGAAATTATGTTAAAATACAATGATAATTAATGTTTGGACTATTATAGTTTTATGAACTTTAATTTCAACCCAACAAGTAAAGTGAGGAGAAAGTTCCTAGAAGAACTCTTGGAAGATATTGTGAAGAAAGTATAAACTTGACAATACTTTCATTTGACTGGCAAAAATGACAGATGAGATGTGAAAAACTTCTATGCAATGGCAAGTTTTTAGGCATCTCAAACAAAATCAAAGCAAAGAGCCACAGATGTCGCTTAACGGTTTTATCCGTACAATTTACTGTTTTAGGTCTTGTTTAGCAAAGAGATAATTGACGAGGTTTTTTATTTTATAAATAAAGCAATTAGAGGGTTTAAGTGTCACACCACAAAAACAGTTACTGTTATTCATGTTTGGAAAATAGATTATGCAAAATGTTATTGGAATTAGTCTATTATGCTCTTTGTAAGAGTCATTTTGAGAAATTATTACATAAGCTATTTTAGGATAATTAAAATAGTCAGTTAGCATCTGATGAAGTCATGCAACTCTTTAATCAAACCTTTTTTTTTTTTTTTTTTTTTTTTTTGAGAAACTTTAATCAAACCTATTCATTCAACTAGCTACCAACTAATTGTCTAATTAACAAACATGTTATTTATCTTTGCCATCGTGCAATTACTCATAGTCTCATACTATAAAATGTCATCACCCATGTGTATACACATTTTTAGTTTTTTTTTTACACATTGGGCCTGTTCACATTTAGCTGAACTAAACTGAACTGAACTGATCTAATTAGAGCTAAGCTAAACTAAATTGAACTGAATAGAGATGAAATGATTTTTTTATGAAAGAAGGAAATTAAGAGCTGGACTGAACTAAACTAAAGTGAACATACCCTAGTGTAAGTTTTGTTCTATGAAATCATGGGGCAATAGTGAACATCCTCAAATATTCCTCCCGATTTAACTTGGAAAATTTTACGAAGACAAGTAATTGCACCATATCTATTTAACTTACTAAACGTTAATTGGAAATTTTCACAATTACCGGTATATAATTTAAGAGAAAATTTGTCAAGTGAAATACTTCTAAAAACTTCTTAATCATTATATGCATGTTAGTACGTAGTTGAACATTTTTAAAATCATTCTTCCGTAGGTTTTTTAAGCGTTTTTAAACTTTTTGTAATATTTACATACATTACATATATTTTTTTAAATATAATTTTGTTTACATAATTTTAAACAACTTAGCATCAAAGATATTCTTGGTCGGACTAGTACATTTAAGATTGAAAAAAAAAAAAAAAAAACAAGCAAATAATTCAACTACCCCATGATAACGAACACAAATGTCTTTTTAATAATTCTTGTTTCGATAAATTCACCCAATAGTGTGAACACGTTTAATTTTGACAAAATATCATGGGAATAATTTTATACAAGTTCACATATTGTCTTCCCTCCACTCTTTAGTCTTTAACGACTATCGTATCTAGGCAATCGGCAGTAGGCACATCTAATTTAATTCAAATTATACTTTTGTGTTTTTTAATGAAGTTTTTTTTTAATGATCCCCAATAATAACTTGTACTCATATAGTCGTACTTATTAAAATTGTCATAATAGTCAATCTATGAAACTACTCATATCATCTAGTGGTAATTTAAATTCAAATTACTATCTCCGTTACATATTATTTGCAACGATTAGACATTTTTTGTTGCAAATAATATGTAATGGAGGTAGTAATAATAAAAGGCCTCATAACTCATAATTCATATTTTCCACAAATTATGGATTTGATTTGACCCATCCAAATTCTCATTTCTAACAAAAGTAAATAAAAAAATAAAATATATATAAATTCCTAACAATTGAAGATAGTGGATCATAAGTAAACGTTGACATAAAATCTTAGCCAATTTCAGGATATGATAACAAATATTGCTGAATAAATGAAATCAAATTTATCAAACACTCAACCAGGATCATAGTAAAAATTACACTATCAACGCGATTATTAATTTTCGAAAACTTACATAGGTGTTAAGCTGGCGAACGAAACTTGAGAAATTGTTGTGCTTGAAGAATTTGGGCAACAAATCCTTAGCAAACTCAGCAGTTTTCCAAACAACAAAAGTTGACCCATTCTCCCCCCATGAAATTACATCATCTGAAGTTTTATCATCCACCATCTCGTATGTCTTCGTCAAAAATGGCGCAGGAGTTGACCTTTGCCCCATTTTTATTCAACTACTCTATAAACTCAACTATATGAGTTATTTTTTAAAAAAATCCCCTGTTTTCCCCTGTTTTTTTTACCTAAAATATACTCAAGAAAAATAGCTAATTAATCTAGAAAAATGGAAGAATAACAATTTAGGAAGAAGAAGAACAACTAAAAAGCAAAAGGGCAGTTAAAAATTCCCATCCCCAACAATAAAACCCAGAAATTAATGAACCAGAATACATGATTTAGATTTTGTTTTTGCCTTTATCCTCTGTTTTTCTGCTAATTAGAAGAAAATGGTTGTTGATTTTGCAAGATCATATTTTTTGATAACAAAAGGAAAGAGAGAGAAAGAAAATGCGAATATGCAGATGTTTCACGTAGAGTCCTTATAAAAATAGAAATATAGACGAAGACAAAACTCAAAAGTAAGAGATTTATAGAAAGTGACTTGACAAAACAGGGTGTTCTAGAAAGCTTCATAAACTCTTTTTTCTTCTTTGATTTTCCAAAGTCATGTTTGAATATTAAAAATAAGAACTAAAAAAACAAAAAATAAACAATTAAAGTGAGTAAGTTCTCCACTTTCGTTGGGTTTGAATTTTGTTAATGGGAAGTTGAAGTTGGCAACAACTACTACGAGTATACTCTTAGATAAAGCCGTGTCATGTTGACGTTTTTAAGGAACTTGCAAGAAGACACTATTCTTTAAAATTTAATGAATTCATTTTAGTTGCTATTGTCAATTTTTCGTTTATTTTACTAATTTTAATTTACAACTTGCAAATAATTAGAAATTGGGATTTTTATTTTATTTTATTTTGATAAATAAAGTGTACATGGTTGCATTTTGGTTTATTGTTGACTAATTACTATCCAGTAATATGTATGAGTAGTTTTTTTTTTACTAGGGTTTATATGTGTAGCACAACTTAAGTTTTTTTATTTTTTATTCTTTTGGTTTCCATGCTTGTATTTTGTGCATGAGAATAAAATATAATCTTAGTTATATTTTGCATGGTATAATCGGTTGTAGAAGTAAAATTCTTGATTTGAAATATTTGTGTTTGATGTTATGTTAATAAAGAATACTTTCATTCACTACTTCAATACTAGGTTTAAATTGTTTTTATAGAAGACGACTACAATACTTAGAATTTGAATTTTCTTGAAAGAATGAGTCAAAAAAAAAAGGTAAGACTATATTTACAGAAGACTAGGGTGGAGATAGTAAACAATAGAAAAGTATGTTAACATATGGAGAAGGAATTTTATAATTTTTTTTTGTTTTGTTTTATCTTATCTTCAATATTTTTGTGGAATAGGGCCGGAAGTAAGTTCATATCAAAAAAAAGGTTGATAAAGAATATTCAAGCTCAATTTACAACCAATATGAGTTACAATAAAATCATATTAATTTATCATTATATATCTCTAAACATTAAAATTATAGATAATGGAGTAAACATATAACAATATATTATTGAAACAATATTTAATTTTGCATATAGCACATTACTTCCCACAATTGATCATTAATTTATGAAAAAATATTACTTTGCGTTGTGTTTTACTCCATCCCTATTTATAAGTTTATTGCATATCTTTTTCTCTTTCCTTAATCCAAATAAATTATTAATCTAATTGTTAAATCATATATTACTATGTCAACAAGTTTTGCACAAATTTTTTCTCCAATCAAATGACCCACCTAAAATCTTACGATGTGATCAAGCCTATGTTTAGTTTATAACAGTATCCATGAAATGTCAAATGTGGGGTATAATAAGGTTTTTAGTGTAAGCATATTAAATTGCAGAGTATTCATACTTTCATTTGAAAAAGAAGGTTCTTATAAAATTTCTGAAAGAGTGTAGAAATTGGTAATGATCTGGATTTATGCCACGTTTACAATCTTGACGGTTAAATTCTTGTTGGAAATAAAAGCAACTCCTTATTCCACCTAACCCATTCCATTGCATATGCAATGGTTTCTTATGCAAAAAGATTAACATAAACTTCTTTCGGCTTCGATTGTGACACAATTTTTTCTTCTTCTTTTATTGCTTTTTAATAAGGTTATCATTAACTTGTAATCTTGCATGCCCTTACCATTTTAATTTGTATAATCATTTGGGATAAGTTATGGATGTTTGAACCATAAATTTGATACCACTATAAATTTACCCCAACCCTAGTACTCCATAATAATCCGTAAATATTTAAATATATTTGAGTGTGTGCTAATAGAGTGAAAGGAATTAATTGTTTAGGGTTCGTTTGGCATTGCTGTGGTTTTTTTTTTTGGTTTTTTTTTTTTCTAAAAGTATATGATATGAGTCCCATAATGAATCAAAAGTTATATAAACTTATTAAAATTATGATAATTTTGAAAACTGACAACAGAAAAGTGGAAACGCCTTTTTCTTGTTTCCTGTTTTTGGTTTTCAAAAAAACAGGAAAATGAAAACCAAAACTGATGCCAAACAAGCCCTTAATTAGTCGCTTCACTCCACTCTCCTAAGATTAACTAAACAATTTGTTTCAATTCTTACATCCTCTGTTTGATTTGAAAGAAAGGAATTAACTGTTTAATTAGTTGCTTCACTCCACTCCCCAACGATTAACTAAACAATTTGTTTCAATTCTTACATCTCTTTTTATTTAAGTGTTACATTTTAATTGAACATGTATATTAATGTGAAACTTTAAGCTAAAGTAGAGTATAAATATACTAAAAATGTATGTCTACGTTCATTCAATTAATAAGAGACCACCAAAGTATGTTTGGTTTGCATAATACGAGTAAATGTATAAACTGTTTTTTGTTTTCTCCGTATGTCTCTATTGGTCATACAATGGTTATATTTTCTAGTACCTATTTATAAGCTACAAAATTACGCTCCTATAATTTCCATTTTTATAATTTCATAGATTTATGGTGCATATTGATTTAACTTTAATATCTCAAGTATAGAATTGAAATTCGTTGCTTTAATTTACTTTAATATCTCAAAGTATGTTTTGTTTGCATAATACGAGTAAATGTATAAACTGTTTTTTGCTTTCTTCGTATGTCTCTATTGGTCATACAATGAATATATTTTCTAGTACGTATTTATATGCTACAAAATTATGATCCTATAATTTTCACTTTTATAATTTTATGGATTTATGGTGCATATTGATTTAACTTTAATATCTCACGGATAGAATTGAAATTCGTTGCTTTAATTTAGTTGGTGAGACGTTGAAAATGGAACTATATAAGTTAAGAATTTGATCCCTTCTAGTCTTCTACGCATGCCGGTGCTGTTGTATGATGACCATATATACGTACTGTTTTGTGTTATCTCAAGGCATGGACAATGGATCAACCAATTAATGGTAAGTTGGTAACATAAAATGAATATGTTACACGAGTTTAATTTAAATTTAATTTGAAACAATTATTAGCTAGCAGTACCCTTTTGTCATTTTTCACCGTCCAATAATTATGTTGGAGTGAATGAGTGATAGTGAACTTGTATCAAATTAAGGGCATCCTTGGAAGTTGGAAGTATGTATGGCACTATAAGTCCACAAGTTTATTGTCAAACAAGATTGAAATTTCGTGCTAATTTAAAGATCTGTTTTTGATATGGGTTTGTTGTGAGCTTTTAGAGATATTTGCGTGATTACTTAATTACAAGAATGGTCCTAAAATATGTTGTTATATACTTACATACTTGTATGTATTTATATAAAGTTTTATAAAAATACGTAGTAATTTTTTAATATTTACTTATTCGGTAAATAAAATAAGGTTAAACTAAATACATCGCTATGTGTGCAAAATTTGACTGTGTCACTATAGGACAGAGGGTGTACATTAATTTTAAACATCCTAATTAAGCTTGTGTATGGTAACATTGAGGTGGGGAGCTCCAATTCTTTAATTTTCAATCGAGTCTAAAATATATTGAACTAATATTACTTCCATACTGCTATTAGGTAAAGCCTTTTATAATTAATTATCTACTGGTTCAAAACTAAGTCTGATAGTGAATATCCATAGAATATTCTCATCTTAGGTTTAGGATATATTTTGTATAAGATTATCTTTGATATCTATACATATCTTATGTTACCTAATATGATTAGGTTTCTCATTGTAACCCTATAAATATTGATCAATGGAAATCACTCTAATAAAGGAGTTTATATTACCTGACATGATATCAGAGCTTAGGTTAGATCTTGGGATCATATACAAAAATTCTCACCCTGCCAGTGGGTTAGAAAATTAAACCCACCGGCGGGATATACAAAGTTTTTTAGGCTTCCGCAAACACACATATAGATTTTTTTTTTCTTTTGTCAAAGTTTTTTTTAGAATCTTTATGTAACCTTGCGCCTCCTACCAACAGTAGCAATCGCGAAAGCCTCCTCCATCGTTGTTGGCAATCGCATACACTACTGCCTCCCCCTACTGGCAATAACCACATATGTCAACCTACTCCATGTGCCGCACTCTATTTCCACCTCCCCATGACCAACAATGATTCTTACATTGCCTGATTGGTTTTTTTTTTACACATAATCACATAGATTTTGTTTTGGTGGTGGTATATCACAATAAGGTCAACTTTTGTAGATCTCTTTTGCTATCAAGTTAGCTCCTTTTATTGTTGCAGCACTTGGAATCTTTGTGGAGTATTAATTCTTGCTACCTGGTTTCTCTTTTGAGAATTGATTAATTTCAAGCGGTGGGATTTAATCTTTTCTTGCGCAATTTTATCTGTTTTTCTTCAGCTGTGATTTTACGTAGTAGTGTAGTGTCCTCCCCGATGATGGTTTGATCCCTTAACTTATTCTTCTCTGGATCTGCAACTTGGCCCAAGTACATGCGTGACTCTTCTCCTTCGGCCTAAAAGTGCATATCTCTACTATACGTAGGTCGTGGTTGTTGCTTCTCATCGTCATCACCAGCACACGTCTACTACTTCTCTTTTGATCATGGGTTACTATACTATCCTTACCGTTCGACGCGTGATTCAGATCCAGTCTGAGCATCCGATTTTCTCCCACTCTGACTGCGGGGGTGTGATAGAGAATGTCCATAGAATATTCTCATCTTAGGTTTAGGATATATTTTGTATAAGATTGTCTTTGATATCTATACATATCTTATGTTACCTAATATGATTAGGTTTCTCATTGTAACCCTATAAATATTGATCAATGGAAATCACTCTAATCAAGGAGTTTATATTATCTGACAAGTCCAATATTCAACTTATGGAATATAATCTAAATATCCTTTTTAGGGTGGGAGGGGTGTGTTGGCACAAGCAAAATGAGTGGAACATGAACTGATGAGCAAAAAACAAGTGTACTTGTCATGCTACTTTAAAGATAGCTATGATGATTTTATTTAATTGACACCTCTCGTACTCTTGCTACTTAATTTAGTTTTATTTTGAAAGGTTATATTCATTAGGAATTTAGGAGTGTGAAGGACTCCATTATTAAAGAGTCCTTAAGAGGATTTGATCTTGTGATCTTCATGTCACGACTCACAAGTCACAAGAACAGAATGATAAGATTGTCTACTGGATACATCAAAGTAAACATCTTTTACGACCCATGTAGCAAATCTTTTCGTTGTTGTGGATTCAAGTGAGCTGACCAACAAATGTAAGACGACGATACGGCCCAGTACAAATAGTAGTCTGAGCCCAACGAGAAAATAACATCGCTTGACAGCCCAAAAATTGAAAACTTATTCTTTAGAATTTTTGCATGGCCACTGGACCCACTTTCCACCCCATAACTTTTTTTTAAAACATCCGCTGATCCACCCATTACTTTGACATAAGGGGATTTGAAAAGTTTTATAATCAATTGAGTGCAAAATTATATGGAAAAATATGAGTGTGAGGGATAGCTCACGTGGTTAGAGTTTTATTTTTGATTCCAAGAAATCTAAGGATTATGTCTCATCACCCGTCTATTGTGGCTCTCTAAACCAAAAATAAAAATAAAAAATAAAAATAAAATAAAACAAAAGAGAGAAATGTACAATTAGCTTATTTGCTCGCATAAATGAAACTAAATATCATAAAAAATAATAATAATAAAAAATAAGTTAGGCAAATTACTATTTGGTGCATCTTCCTCTTTTTAGTCTTTGTAAAATTGTAAACATAGGTGCAAGTAAGATTTTATTACCTAGTCTAATTTGAAGTTACTTTTTTTTTTAAAGAAGTCTTAAAGGACATTAAATTTCATTAATAATAGCCATACGACATCTACAATTGACAATTAACGATAATGAAAACGAATTTAACAAAATCAAATAAGAATTAATCAGGGAAGGGCTAAGAATCCAAATACATAAATATAACAATTCGGCACATTCTCGATTTGTTGTCTCATACAACTTTTTGAGTGGATCCGTCACCGCTTCGCAATTTTGTGAGAAAGAAAATTCTTGTGTTGATTCCGTAACCCGAATCCGAGCCATAATCAATAGTAGCCCCGCACAACCAGAGACCAAATTAAATACAAATAACACCTTGTCTTCCGAAGGAGTCTGAAAAACCTTGTCTTTCGAACGAGATCGAAAAAACCTTGTCTTTTGAAGGAGATAAACCCTTTCTTTCGAGGGAGACATTATTGTAACCTAAGAAAAATTAAAAAACTTAAAAGAAAATAAAGATTGGGGCTTTCCACCGGTATTGTTGGGTTTTCACGACTTTGAGCTTTTACCAACCAAAGAAGAAAAAAAAAGGTTGCTCTATTCAATTACACTCATAATCAAACCTTTCATTAAGAGCTTGCAATCAAACTAGTCAACGAATGGGTTGCAACAATAGTTGGGAGAAATATGGTAAAAATGAGAGCAAGTATGGGAAAGAAGAAAGAATTCGATTCAATTAAATATTCAAGAACTATAGTATAAAATGATCTTCATTATTACTTTACCTTCCACAAATATAATTTCCAAGAAAGGGAATGTATATACAACTAAGGGCATGTTCACTTAACAAAATATATGGTGTTCAAGTCTAAAAATTTTCATGGTATGATTTTAATATCCATTTGTGTATAGCCTTTGACCATATTTGAGGGATATATCTGAAAACAAAAGTGAATCAAGTGATAGAGCTTTTGTTAGATTCATCCTAAGTTGTATATTATATATGAATATAATTGTTGATAATACAAAACTCTATACAACTGGTGATAAACTAAAGATAATGTAGTTTTAATTGCACCATGAATAATTAGCGTGAAATCATCATCGACATGCATGTATATCCAATGAGAAGTACGTGAAAGAGAAGGAATAAGTAGCGAGAGAAGCTGAGAACCACATCATAAAAAGGTCATTTTTCATAATCTACGTTACGATATTGTTATGGAGTAACATTTTCACTAACACCTGATTCCTTTTTTTAGTCTAGGTACTCCAATGTTACACTTTTTTTTTTCTTTCAACATTATGATAATACCAGTATTATACATATATGGACTACGGAGTATATACTAGTATAATACATGTATATGGCAAATGTATATCGCGCCTTTAGCCGCCTACAACACTTCGACCCAAAGATTCCATGAAGACCCCATAAACTATTAAATCCAAAGACTCAATGATTATTTGCTAGACTTTATGGTTTTGAGAACGACTATGTTTATACATTATACTACTACGTACTACTCCATTTGACAGAATATCTTGCATAGTCATGCAAAGCAATCACTTTAACAGGTCAGAAACCCAGCTGTATGTTTGAAATGGAACCCATTTTCACTATTTGCCACCTCACACATCAAAGTTTTTTTTGTTGGTTTTTTAAAAATCAAAATCCTTTTTTTTTTCAAAAATTAATTTAAACCACTACGAAAGAATAATAATAATGTAACCCATTAAAATCAAGACCCACTAAAAATTACGATATTATAACTTGACCAAAATTTGGTTCACATCAATAGAGATACATAATATCTAACTATAGTTTTTCCTTTCTGCCATAAAGGAAAAAATAGATGAGAACTGAGATTAGTAACACTATTTAAGTTTGGCATGTAAAATTAAACTGGTCAATGTATCTCCATTTTGTCTAAGGTTGTTTGGGTTAATTTTGCTAAATATAAAGCTATATTGTTGTTCCTGGTTATGCACAACACTAATTAACCCCCCCTTTAAGCAGCTTCATCACCATGAGTGCTTCACCGAACAAGCAACCACCTGTGCCCAATGCCTCAGCCTTGTCTTAATTGTCTTCGGATCATCGCCTGCATAATCGATCATATATTATAATCATCATTATCGACATCGTGATTAATTAACTTGGCAAAAAAAATGTTGTTAACTTACTCACCATAGTCCACATTGAACATTTGGTACGTAATTGGTACATATGACTATATGAGGTGCAACAAGAGTGGTGAAAGTTATTGCATGCAGACGGGACCTTTTATCGGGGCCATTTGGGGCTTGACCCCCAATAAATAATTGTGATTAATTAGTTAATGAACTTAAAAAACCTTATTTCACTTGTAAAATATTTGGAACATAATTATTTGTTTTGATCGAGGGGTAAAAGATTCAAATCACGGCCTCTCTAATATTTTAGGCGAAGATTCGATCCGCCACTGATTACATGCTTAAATGGAGTACAAAATTGTCTTGATTATGGGTTGGATGTCTAATTGTGCAAACAATAATGATAATCTAATTGGCATGCATTTAGGGAGAATGTGATCAAATAAAGAGCATGTTTAATAATTTACTTTGCTAATGCTCCTACTATAACAAGTACATATTATGAGTTGGTACGATTGTGTTTAAACCTTAATCTTAAAACTATACTTTGTATAAGACTTTTTATTTTTTGACAGAACTTTGTATAAGACTTTGTGAAATACGAGTAAATTAAATAATTATAGGACGACCTAGGACGTATAACCATATAGAAGTACTCCAAAGAATACAAAATAAACATTCTATAACATTAAATGCATAGGATTTTGTCATAAATGTACCTTTTTCAAAATTACGTACATTTAATATCTTCATTAAAGATACGACTTGTATGATTACTTCATTCACATTAGTATTTCCTTTTGCAATTAAAAAATCTTAATACTCCTTAAATGTTACGGTTCAATCTCAAAGTTCATTCATTTGATGGAAATAAATAAATAAATTTAAATGTACATGTTGATCGAGTTATGATGAATATGAGTCACACTACATATGAATTATCACCATTATTAAAAAGTCTAATTGTATTCCATAAAGTTCCATTTTATGTAAATGTTACTTCACTAAACTTCCAGCAGTTTATTTCACTATATTTTCATTTTAATTTCCAAATAGCTGATTAGCAAATGATATTCTTTTACTCGTATCAATTAAGAGCATTCAATTTGGACATTTTCAACTACATTTGAAATTCAAACGACTTCCTTTAAATTGCACCAAACTTTCAACTTTTGACACAATTAATATATTGAGTACTTTATGGTTTAAAATCCGAATATTCGAATTAACTTGTTTCATACAATAACTCAAATTAATAAGTAATGGAAATAAAAACCATACATTATACGCTATGATTGTTGTATTAAAGGAAGGGGCATAATTCGTGACACAACTAAGAAAGTAATCATGAATATGCGCCGGAAATCTCGCTTCATTAATATTAATTTTTTTAATTTTTTTTTTAACCATAAAGCACACATGAAAAACTCTTAACACAACAACACGAGAAAAATTCCAACACATGAAAAAAATCGACGGAAAATAAAACTAACGTTAAATTATGTAATTAAATTAAATTTAAATTAAATTAATAAATGATGAAAGAAAGGAATTAATTACCAGGGCAAATAATGAGAGGGCTGCCAATAGGAGAGGAGAGAGAAAGATCACTTTCCGACGACGAAGCAGTACCAGTTTGCGTTGACAAGGAAGAAGACGACGACTTGTTGGACTTCAAAACGGTGTCGTTGTAGTTCTTATTAACAGCATAATAAAATTCAAGAGCAGGGAGAGTACTGGATAGCCTCTGATCGGGGATAGCTTCATTCGGGTCAAACCTAAACCCGAGTTCAAAACAGGCTTTGAGTTCTTCCAAATCCTCGTCAGTAAGACTCTTGGTACGACGTCGTCCAATCTGTTCTTTGCGACGGAGCCATAATTCTTCTCGGGCTGAGTCAGGTGACCATGAATTCTGCTTCACGAGCGGGGTGGCTTTCCGCCTTGGTGGGTTGCGCTTGGGTTGGGTTAAGGTGGTTTGGGTCCCCATGAGGGGGAGGGTGAGGGTGCAGGTGTTTTTTGAGAGGGGAGCGGAGGAAGTATATAAATGAGGAGAGAGAAAATGAGGGTTAAGCATCACTCTTTATATAGGAGGAGGAAAGGGGGTGTTTCATATGGTATAGTTGGTTCATTTCGTCATTATGACCTGTCTTGCCCTTTTTGTTCAAGTTTTGTGTGTATGTAGTATTGTAACGCCTTATTAACATAAGACTTAGTCATTATGGTGTAACATATTCATCACATTATTTTCATTATTTGAACTATACTAGATCGGCTTGTACTGAATTGAACTGAACAAAATTAAACTGAACTTAATTAAATTGAATTTGTTAGACATTATTAAACTTTTTTAGTTCTGATTTTAACTTGAGTACGAGTAACCTTTATTAACCTTTGATCAGAATTTATGTTAATCAAACTTATTTTAATTAAGGTGAACAAACAAACCCATGTAGGAGCCATTGCAAGTACGTGATTGTATTTCAATATTCTCTTTCCCTTTGGCCCAAACTATCTAAGGTGGTTTTATGATGGTAAAATAGTTTCTTTTAAATATTTGTGATTTAATTACAAGGTATTATGAATTATAGGAGTATGGGGAAGAGCTTGTTTTGTACACCCGAATATACCGTATACCCGGATGTATATAACAAATTCTAAGTATGTGGGGGAAGTGTATATTGGGTTGATAATAGAATTGGAAAAATTGTTGTAATAATATAATGTAGGCTTTTAGCCTGGGTCATCGCCTAAAGAGGTTTAGGTTTAAGGTAATGCTGGAGTATAATTAATAGTCATTATCATTAGTGTCAACTTGCTATTGGTTTGTTTTCAAAGGAAAGACTTTTTATGTTGTAAAAACTTTTGCTCCATGGCCGGCATAATTGATGGCGTGGTCATCTCAATTGGTTTGTATAGTATAGTATGGTATGATATTAGTATTAGCAATGATGATTAATTTGTAAGAAGTCTTAAATTAGGGGTTAAGATTATGACATCTGGTTATCTTAATTTTATAGATTGTAATTTTAATGCATGTGCATGGAGATTGTCTCAAGCTATATATTCAAGGACATTTTAAATACATAGCCACGCTTTCCAATTCAAGTTAAACTTATACACCGTGTATGAGATTGTCTGAGTTGGCAGTAAGAATTAGACTTGATTAGCAAGAAATATTTTGTTTAAAAACTGTCATATTGGATATCCATGATAAACTGAAATAATAACAAAATATACCAGTATGTTTGTGTTTTATATATTGTCGTTTTCGAAAATGATAAACTAAAGTGTGAAAAAACAACAATATTATATATTGGTTCGTTAGCTAGGGTTTTTAACCACCTTAACGAACTAGAATGATTTAAGACAATCTAACCAAGTTATATGCACGTGCTTCATTGGCTATTAATTATTTCACTCTTAAATGCTGATATCAAGTCGTTTATAAAACACGTGTATTTGCACATTTAATACGATTTTATTTATACATTTAGAAGACAGTTGGAAACAGTTAACAGATTAAAAATAAACAAATATGAAAAAGAATATTTTAGGTTGAAATATGATACCTATAAATGATTTACACGTGTTATGTGCTTTGTAATCTGACTCGTAAATCAAGTTGATAAATAACATTCCATTTAAATAGTGATGATATTTTTGTACATTTTGTATTTTATTTTCTTTTAGTTACGGTATAATTTGATCGTTTGTTTGTAGCGCAGCGCAATTAATAGTGATACAATTCAGTTAAGTCAAAGAAGTATGTAATGTGTTTGTTAGATAACATTTGTTAGAATAAATTATACACTATTTGAATACAGTTAGAAGCAGTCAGTAGCTTATTATATAATCAGATAACAAAAAAAAAAAAAAAAGGCTATTGTAAGTTGAAAAGGTGATGCCTTCAAAGCAGTTCACCGTTCACATGATTTTTTTCTAGTGAGTTGTTCATCAAATTGACAAGCAAATTTCATCTTGATATCGATGAAATTTCATATACTCGTATATATTTTGCCTATTTGAATCTCCAGGGTGTCATTATTTTTTTTTTGGTTGATCTAAGTAGTAATGTAGCTAATGTAAGTCGAAAACATGACACCTAAACCTGATTTATATTCATTTTTTGTAATGGAGCCGTGAATAATTTAGTCGATAGAGCTCAGGGCATGTTCTCTTTAACTTAAATTCAGTTCAATTCAGTTTTTAATTTCTTTCTCTCATAAAATATTGGTTTTAGTTTAGTTCAATTGAGTTAAACTTCAATCAGTCCAGTTCAGTAAATCAGAACAGGCCTTCATTCATATTCATCTCATTATTGATGAATTTTTATTCTATTGTCTATAATATACAAAGAATATTAAACTTAGGTAGCTTACTAGCTCATCATCATGAGTCACACCATTGGAATTTGTTATAAACACCCGCGTGTATCGTACACGTAACTAAATTAAGGTTAGTTCTTGCTCTTCATTTGATGATAATATGAAAAACAATATCAAAATGAAAATAAATACTCATTGATGTACGGTACACCCGGGTGTATATAATAACCTCTCTCATGACATTGGTTCATTAGAAACTGTGGAAATTATAACCCAACTATCTTCACCTGATTTATAACAAATTGATACTCGTATATAAGTAGTTATTTCAAATGAAGATTAATTTTACCAATTAAAACTACTTTTCACTATATTTTTTTGGTGTTTAGAGTAGAGCTGATCAAATGTGGCCTAGCCCGATTTTGGGTAGAATTTTCCGATCCAACCTGATTTTTCAAAAACTTTTGGAGGGTTGAAATCATTTTTATGCAAATTTATTTAGTGTTTTTTTTTTTGCCCAGCTCGAAATTTGGTCCGAAAAGCCCGTTTGGTCCGATCATTTTGGATGGGTTTAGGCATGAACTTTTTGGCCCGAAGTATAACCCAACCTGAGAAATGGGTTGTTCTTTGGATCTTGACCCCGCCCGACCAATTATCACCTGTAATTTAGAGTACCAATAAGAAATGATGTCCAAGGGAGCAGCGCATCAAAATACAAATTAAAAATTTCCAATTATACTCGGTCGAAAGTACCATAATACTTCGTAGTTCGTACTTTACAGAGTATAGTTAGCATTAATCGAAATATTAACCCGAGTAGTTTATCAAAAATATCGACTCATCAGAAAACCGGATATTCCAAAAACAGTAGAAATCCAAAACCACATAGAAGGGGAGGTCATCGTTTCCCCCAAAAATTGATCGAAAGACGATTTCTATTTCTAGGGTTAGGGTTTGCTTTTCCCCTAATTCGATTTCACCTGCAAATTTTGATTGAGTGAAAGAGAGAGAGAGGAAAGATGTGGCACGAAGCGCGTAGGTCGGAGAAGAAAGTGCACGACATGATGGATGCTGCAAGGAAGAGAGCGCAGCGAAGAGCACTGTTTTTGGCTAAGAGACGCGGCGATCCTCAGCAGTCTATCCAAATCCTCGGTTCTCGTTGTCGCACTTATCGCGATGATGGCCTTTACCAGGCCACTCAGGATCAACAGGGCCTGTAAGTTTTTGATTTTCTCGTTTTTTTTCTCTCTCCTCTGCTAACCAATTTCATTATTTTATGGTTTATGTCACTGTTAGTTAGCAATTTGTATGACAATATGTTGTAATTGAATGAATTAGAAACCTAATATCAAAGGTTTTTGATAAGGTGGTGGAGGAAGGATGAATGCATTGAATAAATGAACTGGTTTTGGTGTAGAAATTCAACTGTTGATCGAGGTTAATTTTGTTGAGGAAAATATCAAAATATATGTTCGGAGGTTAATAGAAATGCTTAGGGGAGTGAGAGTGTGTATGATTATTGATTTTCAGATATCCGAAATTTGCGTTTAGCTATAGGAAGAGAAAATGACCAAAGCAGTTTCTAATGTTCTACTTTGAGTGTGTGTGATAAGAAATGAGTTTTCTCGTCGATTTTTGCGACAATATGTGGTTCATAGTTTTGGAAATATGTTGATTATTGGAATAGGGAATAAGATTAGGATGAGTATAAAGTTGTTTTTAAGGTTTTTATTTTATTGGTGGTTGTGGATATAATTTTTGCTTATCCGGCATGTTCACGAGGTTTAAAGTTTAATAGGCTTGAATAACATTTTGTATTCACTATTTAGTAAATTCTGTATAGTGTGTACAAATTATTAAGGAGTGTATGTTATATATGATGTGGGGTGTGAAGTGCTCTTTGTCAGATTGTCTTTGAAGTCACCTAGAATTTTCTTACTTGCGTTTGGCATGATTGTTTTGCAAGTAGTAGCAGGGTGTCTTTTGAGAACAGCCTATTTGTGGATGGATAAGTGATTATTTTCAAGGATGCTTATGTTGCTTATTGTTGTTTACCTCCGCTCTAAGTTTAATCAAGGTCTCAGATTATTCTTTTACTTTTGTGGATAAGAGCCTAGAACACTGAAAGTTTGAATGAGGTGATCAACTGCTGGAATTGCATCAATTTCAAAATATTGCCTTTCTTGGCTGCTGGACAATATCAATTGATATAGACTTGGGAGTGACTTTTTCCTTAATCAAAAGGAGCTTGAGAATTGTTTTTATTTATTTATTACTTAAGTAAGTTTTATCCTCAGTAGAACGCATTTTTTAATAATTGGGGAAAAGTGTGGAAAAGAAAAATTTTTTTGCTCTTTTCGAAGGGAAAACTGTGTAGCCCCTGGTCTTGTGTGTTGCTGTTTCATAATAACATGTATAAATAGAGTACTCCATATTAGACTATTTTTTTGAACTCCATGAAAAAGTCTTATCCTGGTAAATACTTTGCCTTGTATTGCATCTGCTTCCTTGCTGTCCAACTTTATTGGTTAATGTCTGATTTTTTCCTCTAATTGGGATTATTATCTGAATATCTACCCATAATTGTGCCAATAGTTGTTTGAAAGATGTCCATTACAATTTTGCAATTCAGGGTAAAATTAAAACAAAATTCAATGTTAGAAGTTATGCCTCCCTCCCCCCCCCCCCCCCCACCCTCCACCAAAAAAAAAAACTGTGTATCTTGATAGGTAGTATTACTTGATTTTTTTTTTTTTTCATTGACTGAAAATTTCTTCAAAATCACCATCATAATTATGGCTCTGTACTAGAAATATTTGTCCTTATGCTGATATCCTGAAATATGCTATACAGGATTCCTTGGAATGGCAAAGAGGATAATTTGATTGACAGGTAGTGTGCCTTGAAGATGTTTTAATTTGGGCCAATGCTACCCTCCCTACAAATTATATTACTATTTACTTACTAATCCTTTATGTAAAGCAGATTTGATGGGCGTGCTCTTCTTGATTTTATCCGTGATCCGGAGACCCATCGATTTCGTCAGCTAGAGAAGACTGAAGAGGAAGAAGAATTAGAAGAGTTTGTAAATTTTGAGCGTTATCGGGATTTAATTAAGCATCGACGTAGAGGATGTCGGTACTTTTTAGATGTCTTGACGTGTATTAGACAAACAGTATTTTGGCATATGTTTTTCTCAATCATTCATACTCTGTTCAACAGTGAAGCGAATTATGAAAATGCATTTTGTTCATGTTGCTTAATCAATAACAATTTATTTGCTGCTAATTATTACGAGAATAATTTGAGCCTTTTCTGTCAACAGTTACAGATGAAGAGGGTTTGGATCATGTAAATCAAGTAATGGAAGCAAAGTTTGCGTTGCCATTTGCTCTTGACAGGTTTTACATTATCTCTTTATATTGTTGCATATAATCTTGGTGACAGGCATGAGGCATCTACACATGTATGCTTTCTGGATGTTTGAGCTAGCAGTTTAATAACATAATGGTAATCGATGTTTAGCACCAGTATGGCCATCCTGAATGACAGGACTAATATGTATTGATAACAACCTCCCCTCAACTAATGGCATGAAATCTTTTCTCTAGTATTTGAAATTTTTGAAAATGACACATCATCTCGATTTCTTTGTGTCCCTTTCTCTATGCAACCAAGTTAATTTTTGAAAATGAATGATGATTTTTCAATTGATCCCAGGCTCCCAGCATATCACTAAGATAATGCTCTACTGGTAATTTATAAATTCTGAGAATAATAAATAAATTAAGTGCTTAGTTCTAATTTTGTTATTGCTTGTGTATTTTTTAAACGTGATTCTCTATCTTTCTTCTACACGTTCTTGCGCTTCTGTTATTGCTCACGTAGTGGACTTGGCTTACTTCTGTCTCCCTCCTACTTGTGGACATGGGTCGACTTTGTTGCTTAGATTTTCCCGGTGTCTTCCCCCCCCCCCCCTCCCTCTTCTGGCTCTCTATATGTGATGGCTTCTACAATGCATCATTACATTTTCCCAAGCTGCACAATGCTCTAATGCTCAATAATGGTTACAGTTAGAAAGAGTCATATAGGTAGGTGGTGAGAGCAGAAATGGTAAAATTGAGATAATTGTTGGCAATTCCAACTCTAATCAGTATATGCAGTCTAAGCTGTGGTCTGTGTAGCATAACTAAGTTACCATACAAATCATTGAGCCAAAATGCTTTGGTAAATAATAATTCGTCAAGAACAGAATACAAATTTAAGGTACTTGTGGTATACTGGTATACTTGTTACCTTTGAATTTTGGGTCTGTGGCTATGGCATAATGGCATATGCTGTGCTAATTTTGCCTTCATGCGGACCAGTAGAAAGATTGTGTGGCTTGACACTGTTTACATTGTCACTAACTTTCTCTCTTAGCCTTGTCTCATGTAATTTCTCAAACGTAAAATACATTTTGTTGGATTTTTATGCAGATCGAATCCATCTCAAACTCCTGCAATCAAGGGTACTTATTCTCAGGTGGGCTTCTCATATGATGGAGATGGTAAAGAGGGTATTCTTTCTTCAGATGATGATGAGGATGATGAAGAAGATGAGGATGATGATGATGATGATGAATTTAACAGTGATGATAGTGGTGATGAACGTATGGAAGCCATAGCTAAGGATTTTGGGGTGAAAAGATATGGCTGGCTTGTGTATATGGATAAGAAGGCAAAAGAGGAAGAAAAGAGGCAAAAAGAAGTGATCAAGGGAGATCCAGCAATTGTAAGTCCAGTTGTCTGGATTTAAAATGTATTTATTAGCTAGGTTACATATTTACAAGTATTTTACCTGTATCAATTCTTATATGTTTGTTTCAGAGGAAATTGAGTCGTAAGGAGAGAAGGAAGGCTTCTCAGCTAGAAAGGGAGAAAGAAAGGGAGGCTGCACGCGTAACTGGAACCCGTGTTCTTCATCATGATCCTTATCGGTATGATTGCTGCCTTTTGCATTATCCAGGTATCTCTTAAGTAATTCTCTGTATCTTATGATTGTATTGGACATCTATACACAGGGAATCAAGGCGGAGTCCTACATATGATGCTTATCCTCGCTCTAGAAGGTATGTGGACAACGTTTGGTGATGTAGAATGCCTTTACCAAGGACATCTTTGCTAATTACTGACTTTACTGATGTAGATCGAGATCACGGTCCCGTTCCCCATCATATTCTAGGCGGCACAGTCGTGGACATTCAACTGACCGTCATCGAAGCAAGTCTAAGGCACCTAAAATAGAATTCATCACTGAGTTTGGGGGTTCTCCTGACAGAAGAGAGCCTAAGTTGGAAGGAGTCTCTCCACCACCATCTCCTCCTCAAGCTGAAGTATTAAATCGGTCGGAGCACTGGACCTTTTACTCTTCCAAGATAGATTTGACAGTCTTTCTGCTGCAGATTATCTCCCATTTGCCTGGGACACAGTTTTGTGGTTTTAAATAAATGAGGATTAGGTTACCCAACATAATTTTGGGGAAGAAAGCTTTGTTTTTTAAGCTGAATTTCCCCTGAAATGGACTTGTAACACTTCAGAATCCCTCATTCCTATGCTAGTCTCTAATTTTTGCAATTTCCTGCAGAACTTCATCAGTCCGTATCCTTGAGGCATTACATGTTGATCCTGCTTCTGGTGCATCACTTGAGAAAGAAAAGAATGCTAAAGTGATAAAGCCCCCAGTAAGGTACTTTAAATTCCTGTGGTTTGCAAGTTGTGGTTTTCATTCATGTTCAAGTTCAACTGCACTTATTATATTCTTGCTTTTGCCCCATATGACCTTGTTAGTCATTTGGCATGTTAGATTTACTTGTTACTGATTGGTTGTTTCTCTTGAATTTCAGCACATCCTCGGCATTAGCCAAACTAAAGGGAGCCACAGGGGCTCCATCAAAGCAACCACAGGGTGAAAAGAAGGAAACACCTCAAGAGAGGCTTAAAAGGATCATGAGCAAGCAACTGAATAAACAAAGTATGGTCCAAGTTTGTGTCTTTAATTCTTTGTTAGTCAAGGAGTTTTTTTATTTTTTTTTACAAAAAAAAAAAAAAAAAAAAAAAAAGCGGTGCAGTTTATATTATATTTTCCTTTTAAGACTGAAGTTTCTTTTATGGTTGTCCTTGCAGTTAAAAAGGATGCTGCTGTAGAGATGGCTAAGAAAAAAGAGCAAGAGAAACAGAGGCTTGAAAAGTTGGCAGAGACTAGTCGTTTGAATCGAAGTAGACGACGAAGCCGTAGTAGGAGCTACAGCCGATCCCCTCGGAGGTAGCTTATTATATATTTTGTTCTAATTTTTTCGTCAGAAATTTCCTTTTATTACGATCTTAGGGTCAATTGGGCAAAGTTTTATCTTTGGATCACCGTGGATAAGTAATAAGTAAACCGATTTGTTAAATGGCCTTTATGATTTCTTTCATGTAGTATGCCATTCAATTCTATATATGGATATTATTAGGAATTAGGAATTTATATTGGATGGATTGAATTGGACTTAATAAGTCCAGATTTAGTATGAAAGACTTGGTCCTTATTTATTTATTTTTTTCAATTTTTCTATTAATCCAGTTCAAATAATTTTATTATAATCTTTTAGGGCTAATAAAATGTATTTTGACCTGATAACAACCCCTGATTAGATTTAAAGATAAATTTTAAATTCTTTATATCAATGAAATAAATGTAATAGTGCAAAAATATATAAATTTTAAGATTTATACAACATACTTAACAATTAGACACACTCACATACAGGTATGCTTGTAGTTTTATGTAAAGGGGGGGAAAGAGTTCTAGTGGTAGTTACCATGAAAATGATAACAAAGAACCTATATAAGCTGACCTACAGAAGAGTGGCTTTTAAGAAAATGGTGATTTAAAGAAAACGGGTGATTTTTAACATTTACATCAGTTAACTTTATGCTACACTAGGTTAAGGTGGTAAAGTCTAACCTGAACCGGAATTAGTAGGTTTCAACTTGTATAATTTATTGAGTCGAATCAACAACATGACTATTTTATTAAATGAGTTGGCTTAGGGTTGAACTTTTAAACCCAATTTTGACATGACAACCTGCGTACTTGCTAGCTACTATTGATAATTTTAGTGTGGCTGGTAATAGTAAAAGGTGTCTTCTTAGTAATGTAAATTGCAGATTTTTGTGGCTAATTGTGGCCCTTTATGGACCTGAAATTAGTTCAGATAAAGTGGTTAATTTACCATGTTAATCTGTTTGGTTTATATTAATGTTTGTTTAATAAATGGGTTGTTTAAGCTGTTTAATGGTGGATAGATTGGGTTGCCAGTCAATTTTAATCGGAGTTGGGTATCCAACCTATTTATTAAACGGGGCCTGATTAGGGTTATGAGAAGAGAGGGGGGGGGGGGGAAGTTAACCTGTCAACCTGACACAAATTTAACACGACGCAACCTATTTGCCAGCTCTACACAAGGATTGCTTTTCAATATAAAATCAAATCAAATCCCTACTTTGCTTTCCATGTTGAGTTTTTTTTTTTTTTTTTTTTTTTTTTTTCCTGTGGCATGTGAATTTTGCTGATTTGTTTGCATTAAAGTGAATCACAACAATCAGCAATCAAAATTGCATCATTTATGTTTAATCGCTTTTCCTTCTCTCATTTAGATAAGTTGTAGATGTCTTATTTATCAAAGTATAAAGTTATTGATTTAGGTCATCACTACCGTTGGTCAGATTTAGTTCCTGTTGTCTCTAATAATGTGTAAAGACATTCTTCCACATAAATTTAATTTCAGGACTAGTTCATGTCTTTGATATGATCATATGATTACTTTCTTCTTAGTTTATAGTTTGCTGCTATTTTTTTTTTAATTTTATTTATTTATTATTTTATTTTATTAATTTACGCCTGAAACTCGACAGAAGTAATTCTAGTCTAATTTAATTTATCAAATATTGAAATGGATTATATCTCGTCGACGTAATAAAATGACGAAAGGAGTAGCTGGTTTGCAGATATAATCAGATGCTAGAGAGTAGAGAGAGTAGATACTCTGGGAAGATTCAACAATGAAGATTCATTGTGATTTTGGTTGGGTTTACTGTAGAGAGGGAGAGATCTCGTCAACGTAAAAAAAGGACGACAGGAGTAGCTGGTTTGCAGATATAATCAGATGCTGGAGAGAGTAGATAGTCTGGGAAGATTCAACAATGAAGATTCATTGTGATTTTGGTTGGGTTTACTGTAGCCTGTTGGAGAGAGAGAGAGGGAGAGAGGGAGAGAGAGAGAGGGAGGGGAGGGTGGGAGATTCAACAATGAAGATTCATTGTGATTTTGGTTGGGTTTACTGTAGCCTGTTGGAGAGAGAGAGAGAGAGGGAGGAAGGGAGGGAGGGAGAGAGAGAGAGAGAGAGAGAAAGATCTCGTCAACGTAAAAAAATGACGACAGGAGTAGCTGGTTTGCAGATATAATCAAATGCTGGAGAGAGTAGATAGTCTGGGAAGATTCATTGTGATTTTGGTTGGGTTTACTGTAGAGAGAGAGAGAGAGAAGGGGAGGGGGAGAGAGGGAGGGAGGGAGATAATGTGCATGCGGACCAGAATTATAACGCTGGTCAAAGCGGGATTTCAAATTCTTCTTTTGATCTTTGGGTAATATGTCACGAGCAATTAGCATTGACCCAAATCCAATTCTAAATTCTTTTGGCCATAGGCAAATTATTTGGTGAAGCATACAGTAATGTTCTAATGTTGGTACCTGGTGAAATAAAAGTTTTGCTTGTTGTCATCATGTCTCATGTACATAGTTTCAATTAATTTCATTTTGGTTCCAATAATCAGCCACATTTTCTCTTTAGACTACCTGAAAAGTGGGTCCCCCCCCCCCCCCCCGTGGGATGTATGACTACGTGTTTTTTCTTGATTTGGGTCGATTCTGGTAGAAAATTGTCAAGGTTATGAGATTGATCAATTTTTCATTTTGCTGTATTGTGAGTTCTGCCAAATTAAGCAATAGTTTCTGCAGCTTATCTTATGAACCTTCTGAACTTGTATGAGTTCTAGATGCAGAGAGAAATGATAGAAATTTGTCGATGAGGATAGCAAGATAGAACAATTTGTCGTAGAGCTGCATTGATTACTGTGCTAATGTTGCCCCAATTGTAGTATTAGGGAAAGTGCGGAATTCTGGGGAGACCTGGATCGAAGCTTATTAATAACGGTTGTGTGGTGGTAGCCTGTTAGGTTGTATGTAGGTGCGCTTTGAGAGGGCAATGTACTTTAGATTGTTAAAACATCTAGAAATTCTGCTCTTAAGCTTGAGCACCAATAGGATACGTGATCCATTTTAGTTACCTTGCTATTCCTTCCTCCCAAGCAGATGGTAGCCTGTTAGGTTCTATTGCTTGCTACAAGTTTGGATTGCTGCTGCTTCTGAACTTGTAGACCTGAACTGAAGTCATCAAAACTTATTTTCTTATTCTCTTAGCTGAATATGTCTGAATCTAAGGGAATTGAGCGGTGTCGTTAATTCAATTAATTTTTATTCTGTAGGCGACTTAAAGATTAATGGTACTTGTTTGAAATTTTACTTGGCAAATGAGAAAATGATTCATGGGCTTATGTTCTTTTTTCTGTGAATAGATTACCTATGGTCTTTTGAATTCTTGGTTGGTAGTAATTATCCTTTGTTAAGATCCAGTCAATGCATATCGTTCACATATGTACCTAAGGAGTAAGATGTGTGTGATTTTTGCAGACGACACAGATACAGCAGAAGTCCAAGTAGGGGAAGGAGTTCAAGGAGACACCGTTCTCATTCCCGCTCTCGTAGTCGTTCTCCCTCGCGTTCTCGATCTCATTCCCATTCACGCTCTCCAAGGTCAACAATGGCACTTTCTTTCTTTATTCTTCTAAAACGACAACTCTTTCCTTTTTTTTCTCCATCATTTGTCGAGCTATTGGTGACTTAAATGGGGTACACTTTTATTTGTCTTGCAGGCGCAGAAGTCGGTCCAGATACTGATGCTGGTGAAAACATTCTGAGAGCTCAATGTATGTTTGTGTTTGCATATGAATAATGCTTGTATGTGGAAAATAGATCTCTTAGAGTAGGTTTCAGTCTTGGATTTTGTAGGCTATGGGGGGAGAAAAACATGTTTGTATCTTATAAGAACATGAGTACTTTGTGTCAGTTTTTGTGTTCCAACATTGCTCAAGTACAGTTTGATCCCAAAACAGCCTGCAGATTGGCGCATCAATCCAGTTTTTTCTTCCTTACCTTTTCATGTAATTACCCTGTTCTTTTTATTCAAATTATCAGCAGTTGCCTCTTTTTATGAATTGGTATTCCTTTATTTTATTGGGCTATTATTGCTTTTTGAGTTTGGAGTTCTGGTTTACTCTCGGCTTTAGTTAAAGGTAGATTTGATTCTTTTCTGGGCTAAAATCAGTACCTAATATTTTATAAAGTCTTTCCCTGGTTGGTTAATTTTCATGTATCCAACAATAACTAATGTTAATGAGTGCCAACTACGAGTAGAATTTTTGGATCAGGTGTGAGGGTTCGGATTGAGTCTAGTCGGGTTGGGTCATTTTGGATTTTAATCTTGCAAAATCAGTTTTGGCCATGTGGATTGAATTTTAATAGTCACTTCCGCATTAGTTTGATTGTTTGTCTTGCAGAAAATATTTAGTTTGGTTGTTCGAGCTGGTCAGTTTTTGATAAGTTTATAACTGACCAACTTCGTATCTTGTTGTTGCTGGATTTTCAATTGCATTGTATCTATCGGATCTGCGAATGTTGATGTCAGGATTCGTTTGTCGAGCTGTCAAAAGTTGACCAGACCGGAAATACTGACTCAAACCCATTTATTTATTGACCCATTTAAACCCGAAAAAATGGTGACCCATACCCTACTTGACTCGACCTGAAACCAACCCTAGACCCGAGTTGACCGAGTATGTGAGACCCGAACATATAACCCGACCCGAATGTAACCCGTAAGCTATTGACCTGAACTGAACCCGACTTGAACCGAAATTGACCCAAACTTATTTGAACCCGTCAAAACACGAATTTAATCGACTTGTTACTATTCTGACCTGAATTCGACCCAACCCGTTCCTAACCCGACCCGAATTTAACCCAACCTATTACAAACCCGACCTGAAATCAACCCGGCTTGTTATTGACCTGACCCAAATTCAACACGACTTGTTATTGACCCGACCCGAATTTTACAAGACCTATTACAAACCCGACCCAAAAATTCAACCCGATCTGTTACTTACCCGACTCGAAATCAACACGAGTTGTTATTGACCCGACCTAAATTACACCCAAATTGTTCCTGACCCGATTTCAAATCACCTTAAATGCAATATAGACCACCTTATTATTGTTGATCAAAGCATTTTGTCTAGAGAGACCAAGTTGGTCCAGGCGAGCAAAAGAAAGGAGCATCATCCTCAAATTTAAGAGTTAAATATAGTATATATTTGTTGTATGGTCAAAGGAGATAATTATCTTCCTAAATTATAAACTATAGTTCCCTAATATATTGCCATATATATTATAGTCAAAGGAAATAATTAGCTTGATAGAAATGATATGACTTGGAAATGACCCAACCTGATTATAACCCGCAAATTATTGACTTGAACCAAACCCGACTTTAACCCGAAAATGACTCGACCTGATTAGAATCCGCAAGTTATTGACATGATTTGAACCCAACTTAAACCCGAGAATGACCCGATTTGATTCTAACCCGCAAATTATTGACTTGAACCGAACCCTACTCAAACCCGAGAATTACCCTAACCCGTTTTAACACATGAAAACCAGAATTAAACCCGGCCTACTGTTCACCCGACCCGAAGGTAACCTGACCTGTTATTAACCCGACCTAAACACGATAAGAAGTATGACCCGACGTGACCCGACTCAAGCATGACCCAACCCAAAACCGACCTGCATAGGTTATGGAATTAATTCGAATTGACCAGATCAGTTTACCCAAATTGACATCTCTACCTGAAACCTCCAAAATTTCTCAAAAAGCGTGGATATTAGCCTTCAATTTTGGATTTTTTTTGACTTTTTTTCACCCGAAAATAAAAATTGTCGAAATGTTTAGCATGGTCCCTAATACCCTCCAGTAGTCCAATTGGCTGGTTGGAACCATCCAATTATTCTTTAAACGACCAATTTACCGGTTTAAAACTTGCGCCGATTTCATTAACTCACGCCTACCACAAACATTTATGACAAAATATAATGATCATATATGGTTCCAAATGACATTATATGACCCCAAGATGTATCCCCTAAAATCTAAAGACTTTTCAACATCGGGCCCAGAAACCTCCAAAATTTGTTAAAAATCGTGGATATTAGCCTTCAATTTTGAATTTTTTTTTCGCCTATAAATAAAAATTGCTGAAATGTTTACCATGGTCCCTAATGTCCACCGGGAGTCCAATCTGGGTGAAACCATCCAATTTGCCTTTAAACAGTCAATTTACCGGTTTACAACTTGTAGCGATTTCACTAACTGAAGCCTACCACGAACATTTATGACAACATATAATGATCATATATGGTTCCAAACGGAATTATATGACCCCGAGATGTATCACCTAAAATATCAAAGATTTTCGATACCGCGCCTCGAAACGTCAAAAATTTCTTAAAAAACGTGGATATTAGCCTTAAATTTTGGATTTTTTTTACTTTTTTTCGCTTGTAAATAAAAAATTTCGAGATGTTTACCATGGTCCCTCATACAATCCGGGAGTAGAATTAGGTGGTTGGAACCATCTAATTTGCCTTTAAATGACGAATTTACCAGTTTACAACTTGCACTGATTTATTAACTCAAGCCTACCACGAACATTCATGAAAACATATAATGATTATTTCTGAATTAAAACAGTATTATATGACCCCAAAATGTATCACCTAAAATCTCCAAACTTTTCGACACCGAGCCCTGAAACCTAAAAAATTTCTCAAAACGCGTGAATATTAACCTTCAATTTTGGAATTTTTTAAATTTCTTTTCGCCCAAAAATAAAAAATTTCCGAATGTTTACCATGGTTCCTTATATCCTCTGGTAGTCCAATTAGGTTGGTGGAACCATTCAATTTGTCTATAAACGGCCAATTTACCAGTTTACAACTTGCACCGATTTCACTAACTGAAGTCTACCCCGAACATTTATGACAACATATAATGATCATATATCATTTCAAACGGCATTATATGACCTTGAGATGTATCCCCTAAAATCTCAAGGATTTTCGACACCGGGCCCTGAAACGTCAAAAATTTCTCAAAAATCGTGGATATTAGCTTTCAAATTTGTAATTTTTTTACTTTTTTTTCTCCCGAAAATAAAAATTGCCGAAATGTTTACCATGGTTCCTAATATCCTCTGGTGGTCCAATTAGGTGGGTGGAACTATCCAAATTGCATTTAAACAACCAATTTAACGGTTTACAAACTGCACTTATTTCATCAACTCAAGCCTACCACGAACATTTATGACAATATGTAATGGTCATTTATGGTTTCAAATGTCATTATATGACCCTGATATGTATCTATTAAAATCTCATTTCTTTTTGACACCTGACCCGAAACCTTCGAAATTTCTCAAAAAGCGTGGATATTAGTCTTCAATTTAGGAATTTTTTGCCTTTTTTTTCGCCAGGAATAAAAAATTGCCGAAATGTTTATCATGGTCCCTAATACCTTCGGGGGGTCCAATTGGGTGAGTGGAACCATCCAATTTTCCTTTAAAAGAACAATTTACTGGTTTACAATTTGCATTGATTTCATTAACTTAAGCTTACAACGAACAATTATGATAACAAAAATGATCACATATGGTTCCAAAGGATATTATATGACCCCGAGATGTATTCCCTAGAATTTAGAGACTTTTAGTCAACGGGCCCCAAAGACTCCAAAATTTCTCAAAAAACGTGGATAATGCCTTCAATTTTTGAATTTTTTTTAACTCTTTTCGCCTGTAAATAAAAATTGTCAAAATTTTATCCATGGTCCCTAATACCCTCCGGGAGTCCAATTGGGTGGGTGTATCCATTCGATTTTCCTTTAAACGGCCTATTTACCGGTTTATAACTTGCACCGATTTCATTAAATCTAGCCTACCACGAACATTTATGACAATATATGATGATCATAAATGGTTTCAAACGACATTATATGACCCCAAAATATATCCTCTAAAAATTTATGCCTTTTCGACACCGGGCCTCGAAACCTTTTAAAACTTCGCAAAAAGCATGGATAATAGCCTTCAATTTTGGAATTTTTTGACTTTTTTTTCGCTAGAAAAAAAAAAAGTTGCCGAAATGTTTACCATGGTCTCTAATATCCTTCGGGAGTCAAATTAGGTGGGTGGAACCATCCAATTTGCCTTTAAACGGCCAATTTATCGGTTTACAACTTGCACCGATTTCATCAACTCAAGCCTACCAGTCTACCACTAACATCTATGACAACATATAATGATCATATATGGTTCCAAACGGCATTATATGACCCCAGATGTATTCCCTAAATTCTCAAGACTTTGTGACATCGGACTCCGAAACCTCCAAAATTTCTTAAAAAACGTGGATAGTAGACTTCAATTTTAGAATTTTTTGACTTTTTTTTCGCCAGAAAATAAAAGTTACGAAAATGTTTACCATGGTCCCTAATACCATCCGGTAGTCCAATTGGATGGGTGGACATCCAATTTTCCTGTAAACGGCTAATTTATCGGTTTACTACATGCAACGATTTCATTAACTCATGCCTAGCACGAACATTTATGACAACAAAAAGTGATCGTATATGGTTCCAAACGTCATTATATGACCCCGAGATGTATTCCCTATAATCTCAATGTTTTTCGTTACCGGGCCACGAAACTTTCAAAATTTCTCAAAAAGCATTGATATTGCCTTTAATTATAGAATTTTAAGACTTTTTTCACCCGGAAATAATAATTTCCAAAATGTTTACTATGATCTCTAATACCCTTTGAGAATCTAATTAGATAAGTGGTACCTTCCAATTTTCCTTTAAACGACCTTTTTACCGGTTTATAACTTGCACCGATTTCATTAACTGAAGAAGTTAAGCCTACCACGAACATTTATGAGAACAAATAATGATCATATATGGTTTCAAACTGCATTAAATGACCCCGAGATGTATCCCCTAAAATTTTAAGACTTTTCTACATTGAAAATTTCTCAATTTTGAAAATTTCTCAAAAAACGCGGATGGAACCATCCAATTTTCCTTTAAACATTTTGACTTTTTTTGAGCCC